TTATTTTTATTGTTTAGTTAAACATCTAATTTGATTAATATATGTAAAATTTTTAGTCTAAAGTTTTCAATTATATTCATCTAAATTATTAATTTTTTAATTATTAAACTTAATAATCAAAATTTAAACAATTGAACATCCATTTAATTTAATTTTTAATCAAACAAACTTAAGACTCAATCAAAACCTACTTGTTGATTACTATTTTCGTCCATTTAAAATTTTTTTTGGGTTACAAACTTTTTAACCCATTTTTTATTCACCCACAAAAGACGATATTTTCACTAAAAGATAAATAATTAATCACCCTAACCGTGCCGAACATATACAATTGTGAATTATGTGTAGAAATAGCAAGGAAACCAGTAGCATTATATTAAATAATAATAATAAATAAATAAATAAATAAATAAACTATAACTTCTTTACATACCTCTAGGGCGTGCCTCACAATCCGCGCCCCCAGGTGGCCCACCGCCTCATCCCTCGCTTGCCTTTTATCCACCTCCGGAAGAGTGGCATTTAAGAACCGCTTCGCTCCAGTGACGTTGGTTGCATCGAATAGACTTTTCTGGAATGAAAGGGGAGGGATGAGCTCCTTCCCTTTGCCAGGGCCTCGCACCTCGGCCTCCTTCCTCTCCCTGACTTCAGGATCAATTTCAAGAGGAGAAGGTCGAGGCACGAACTCAATCACCTCATCCCTCCTAACTTCTGGTTCTGCCACCTTCCTCTTCTTTCTCTGGAGTGGTGCAACCTCCTTGCTCACCTCCTCACTGCTCATTCTCACAGGCTTTGGCCTTGGCTGCATCTCCAAAGCACGGGCAGAAGTGCTGGACAACCGCTCCCTCTTTACCACCCCCTTTTCTGCCGCAGTTGAAGTCTTTGACTTCTTCCTTGGCTTCTTTGGGATAGCCAGGCCCCCAGCAGCGTTTAGAAAGCCATCAATTTCAGCTGCAAAACAAACATAAATGTCAAAACACACCAATTGAAATCTCACCTAAATTGCACAAAACAAATATACACAAACCTTCACTCAATGAGCTTGGCCCATAGAGCTCGGCAGCCTCTATCGCCTTTGCGCTGGTGAGGCACATGATATCCACTAACTCCCCCTCTTCCCTCACCAGCTTCCCTACTTCTTCCACTTCATCCTCATTCAACATATAATTGTTCTGCTTGGCCCTCTTAGCTTTCCAAGCAGACAATTGTTCTACTTCGACATCCATCCTACTCCACTCGGTGTCATCCACAAAGAAGAATTTTTCTTTCCAGCCTTTGATGGATGACGGTCCAATAGTGAATAGACCCCTATTCTCTTCGCTGGACGACCGAGGGCCGAAGTAGTACCACCCCTTCTCACCCCTACCCCCAGCCCTTATTATAAAGAAATGCTTAAACATATTTACAGTAGGGACCCCAAACCCCCGAGCTCGGCAGTATACAATAAAGCCTATTATTACCCTTATGGCATTTGGGATTAATTGGGTTATTCCTATACTATAATCTAATAATAACCCAACCAGTAATTCTGGAATGGGAAACCTAAGCCCTGCCACCAAGTAATGGACATACATGGGCATCCAATGATCTTAGGGTGCTGAGCATGCTCTCTCATTCACCCCAGCAAGCCTAATTAGGACATGGTGAGGAAGGTTACAGTTTCCTACTAGACCCCTAAGGCTACTCCTACTACTCAATTCACTCACATACTCTCTCACCTCGGATACTATGTCTAAATCTAGGTCATAGCACCCATCTCCATTACCCTCAATTTCTATAACATTGGAGGGAATTTCATCTTCCTCTTCTTCTACTACCCTTCGCTCCTTTCTCTCCTCCACCGTCCTCTCCGAACTAGATAGAGACAGACTGCTCTCCGAGTCCATGCCACCATACTCTAGGGGCATCACCTCACTCCCTACTACACTCATTGTCCCTTCTGAAGACATCTCCTCAATTTCTGCACACAGTAGGAGGAGGAACGAAGTCAGGACCCTTAAAAAATTCTAACACACTCAATAACATTCTCACTGCCAACCCTAATTTCCTTCAAAAAACCCAAAATCAAAAACAGAAAGGGAGAAAGGAGAATAACACTTCGACAAAATCAAAATCAAAGATTCATAAACTTCCCTAATTTTGATCTTGGGAAACTGTTGTTGGAGTCTCAATCGAAGCGCAAACCGCACAAAACCGCAGAAATTTAGCAAAAATTTGATAGCAAAATAGTGAAGGTAAAAAACCCCTTTTTTACAGAAGTCTCGCCTTTTATACCAAAGGTAAAATAAGCCTCAACGGCTGTGATTAACTCTATCTAACGGCTACAAAGACATTGTTTCGAATTCGACGGTTAACCCCAAACGGCACTGTTTCGAACTCAACGGTTCGTTTTTCAAATTTGCCCGTTTAACTGTTGCAGTTACCTTTTTACAACCGCATTTATTACACACGTCTTTTAGAAGACAGTTGTCACGTTATGTACTGCCTCTTTGTCAGACTTATCAGATGGGCCCACTTAAGCCCATTTCAATACTCTTGCTCACTTTTGCACATTCTCAATTTTTGCAAGTGTTTTGCTTCGGCTCCGGCCACAGTGACCCAGTGTCATGCATTTCACTTCAGCTCCGGCCATTATGACTCCGGTCATTACTTTTCACTACGGCTCCGGTCATTATGACTCCGGTCATTACTTTTCACTACGGCTCTGGCCATTATGACTCCGGTCATTACTTTTCACTACAGCTCCGGTCATTATGACTTCGGTCATTATTTTTCACTACGCTCTGGCCATTATGATTCCGGTCATTACTTTTTATTACGGCTCCGGCCACTTTGACTCCAGTCGTCATTCCATACTATGGCTCCAGTCACATTGACTCTGGTCATTACTTTTACCACGACTACGGTCTCGATCACTTCGATCACATTTTATTTTGGGCATGACCATCATGACCCCTTATCTCATACTTCACTTTTGATTACGGTCATAAATACACTTGAGTTACAGATTTTCATTTTTATTTTTACTTCTGTACCTCATCTTTAATATCTTTATCCCTCTTCCTTTTTATTTATGCACTACTCCCATTATCTCTAACAACATCATTCACAAGTGAATGACTTCAGGGGGGAATAGTGTAAGGATAGGTCCGAGGTGCCCAGCCTCAGACGTACGACAGTAATTCCTGTATAACCGAAGTGAAGGATAAATCCAAAACTTCCCACTCAAACAGCTGCATGGTAGCGACAATAAGCATGTCCGCACTTGATTCCTCATGATAAGCTGCATAGCAGTTATGATGGATATTCTTGCATCTGAATATCTCTCAATTTCTCGGTCCCGAAATAACCGTCTGGAGAGACACGTCAGACTCCGAATATCTTGCTTGGCACGCTACGTGGGTTCCTCACTGAAGCCTATAAATACCCCTCAAAGGCCACGTCAAAAAGGTAATTGAAATCAACCCTAAGCTCCTTTTATCCTTACTCTAAAGGTAGCCACGATTATTGTTGACTTAAGTATCGGAGTGTCTACCCCGAGACCCATCTCGGAGCTTTGCAGGTCAATCCGAAGTGCAGACGTGGACTGAAAAAAGACTTTTGATTTGGTACAATTATAGATATTTGTCACATATCATAACATTTAAAATAACGTAATTTATTAAAAAGGCATTGTGTGATGCTTGAGAGGTATATTTGTCATCCTTATCCTAATGACAAATATACCCCTCCTGAATTTTTACTTTAATATATATATGTTACATATCATAACATATATATATATATTAAGATAACGTAATTTATTAAAAAAGCATTATTTTAAAATTATTTTTTTAAATTTTTAAGCAAGAAAGTAAATGGATACTTTTCTCAATATATATTAGCTCCTGACGCCTGAATTGCATCTTTAACATGTACACGTTAATAAATATGTTTTACATAT